CAAATTCAAACCCAAGATCATTTATATCTTGTGCCCAAGTTTCATCTCTATTTCATAATCTGGCTTATGGTTTCAAATTCAAAGACTTTTATGACAGAGTTGAACCATCTGACCCTATCAACCCTCTGAAACCCAAACTCACAATGACCCTTCCATCTGTGATTCTTGACTATATAAAATCCATGTCAGATGTAGGATCCTTAGCAACTATATCCTGTTCTGCTAAATCTGATAAAGCTGTTGCTTCAACTATACCAATTACATCTGATAACAATGTTGCTTCTGATGAACCCCTCAAATCTGCCTTCCAAACCTACTCAAATAAACCTTTTGATGTAGTGACCCTACACACCAGAGCAAAACCTCATCTGTTAAATGTCTTAATCAGATCCAAAGAAAAAGCTCCTGAAATTCCCTTCATTCCATACTATCCTCCTCCTCTGATCTCCATCCAAAAATCAATTTTCCACCAACTCCCCAACCTAAACCTGTAACTCTGGAAACTCTGTTACATCCTAAGCCCAGACTTAATGTTAATCATTTATTTCAAACTTTTTTTTGCAAGAAATACAGTTGTATTTAGGTACTGTACAGAAGAAATGCTCAACAACAATGGATGCCAAAGAATCTGATATCATCTGGAATGGATTCATCAACAGATTCAACTCTGTGGCCTCCAATCTGAAGAACATATGTTCTGATGATGTAAAGCTCAGATTTGCTGAAGCTGCAAGGACTCTATTCTGGACTGTCAAGAAATCTGATCCTCTGCTTCTTACAGATGCTCCTCCACCTTCAGCAGAAACTACTGACATTGCATCTGAGAAAAATCCGTTGGCTATGACTCTGGTAGACCCTCCTTCTAGCTCCAATGCTCCAGACTCTACAGAACCAATGCAAATTGACTCTGTTCAAGCTCCAGAACCTGATCATACTTCTTCATCTGAGATAAAGAAAGAACATCTAGATTTTGAAGATAAGATTGCTACTCTGGAAGCTGGCCAATCAGAGATCAAGTTGAAGGAAATGTTAGAACACAGATTGGTTCTTAATAATATCTCTTTGTTTTGATGATAACTATTAGGAAATTTTGTATTTAAGAATTATATACTCTAAAATTTGCTTGAGAGTTTTTACTGCAGATAGTAAAGAAATTAACACTCCAGAAGCAAATCAGAATTGAATACAAGAAATTAACTAGACTCTGAAGCGCCAGATGCACTCATTAGAAGATTCTGATTGCTGCCAACAAGAAGATTCTGAGCGTAGCCTCCAGAAGATTCTGAAGCAGAAGCTCTAGAAGAATTTGAAGCAAGTCAGAAGCATCTGAAGCAAAGAAGAATATTGTATGAAGAGTTTTTCAAAGCATAGTTTCTACAGAAGATTTTGAAAGTACTAAAGCTGCCAGTACTGAAGTTCTGTTTCAAATATGCTCTGATATTTAATACGCTGAAAGCACACCTGCTGCAGAAGACTCTGATCCAGCAAGCTCTGATCACCATCAGAAGAATCTGACCCAATTAGACTCTGATGAACTTGCTGAAAACTGAAGAAGAAATATTCAAAGATTATATCTGTTGGAGTAAATCAAACGTCTCTTTCCTTATTTATGCTAGACACAAGAACACAGACAAAAAGGATTTTTCTGTGCTTTCTTCTTCTAGGAAAGATCACTTGATGTGAAGACAAAAAGGCTCAGACCTTTTGGGACACTCTTCTCAACGTGCAGCTCACCTTGGATCAGCTGCCTATAAAAGCAAGACTCCACCAAATTCTTCAGTTAGACGTTTTGCTGAAAAAGAATTAAAACATTTAAGCTCTCATACTTTCATATTCATTCTTAGAATTAATTTCATTGTACTTAAACTTAAGAGAAATATCACTGTTGTGATAAAAGCTTTTTAGAAGCATTCTTACTCTTGTATTAGATTTACATTGATTGTAAAGGATTTCCTTAAGAGGATTCAGTTGGAATCAGTAGCTCTTGAGAAGACTAAGAACAGTTGTTTTTAGGTGTTACTATTGTAATCTGTTTGATTAAATAGTGGATTAAGTCCTTGATTGAGAAAGGCAAATCACTCTAGGAAGGGTGGACTGGAGTAGTTGAGTTCAACGAACCAGGATAAAAATAATTGTGTTTTAATTCTAAGTTTTAATCTTTCATACTTATTCAACCCCCCTTCTAAGTATTATCTCACCTTCAGGAAATAGTTCCAATACAGAAGTGGACTGGAGATAAGCAAAGTGTTAGTCATCTGAAGGTGTTTGGTTCTGTTTGCTATAAACATGTTCCAAAAGCCAGAAGACAGAAGCTGGATAGAAGCAAAGTGATGATTCTGATAGGGTACCACAGTACAGGTGCATACAAGCTCTATTGTCCAGAAACTAATAAAATTGAATTCAGCAGAGATGTGATTGTGAAGGAATCAAAAGTTTGGAATTGGGATAAGTCTCAATCTGATTCTGATGTTAGAACTTCTGAAGAAAGGTCAGAGTTAAGAATTTCTGAAGTTGGAGTAAACTCTGACGTTGACTCTGACTCTGATAGTGATTCAGACTCTGGAGAAGACTCAGAAGATGAAGGTGACTCTGATGATCCAGACTCTGATGGCAATCCAGATTCTGGTGGCAATTCAGACTCTGGAAATATGCCAGACTCTGAAGATGGTCAAAGCTCTGGAGGAAGTCAATCATCTGAAGCTAGAAACTCTGAAGCTCAAGACTCTGAACAAGTTCAAAGACCACAAAGAATAAGAAACGTCCCCAGAAGATATGCAGAATTTGACATGCTGCAAGACACTGAAGTAGACTCTGAAGGAGAAGTTATTCAGTGTGCCATGATAGTAGATTCTGAACCCATAAGTACAGAAGTGGCTCTTAAGAAGAAGTTCTGGCTGAAGGCCATGAAAGAAGAACTTGATGCTATAGAGAGAAACAAGACTTGGAAGCTGACAGAACTTCCAAAAGACAAGAAAGCCATCAGCGTCAGATGAGTTTTCAAGCAGAAGTTAAAGCCAGATGGTTCAATTGGCAAACATAAAGCAAGGTTGGTAGCCAGAGGATTTCTACAGAAACTTGGGCTAGATTATTCTGAAGTGTTTGCACATGTAGCAAGACATGAAACAATCAGAATGGTGATTGCAATAACTGCTAACACGAATTGGCCTCTGATGCATTTAGATGTAAAATCTGCATTTCTGAACGGTCCATTAGAAGAAGAAGTTTACGTGTCACAACCTCCTGGATTTGTGAAAAAGAATCAGGAAGGGATGGTGTACAGATTATACAAAGCTCTATATGGATTAAAACAAGCGCTCAGAGCTTGGAATTAGAAGATTGATTCATTTTTCAAGAAGCAAGGCTTTCAGAAATGTGAGATGGAGTACGATGTTTATGTTCAGCATACTTCTGAAGGCAATATGACTCTGATGTGTTTATATGTTGATGACATACTGCTGACTGGAAGTTCTGAACAGGAGATAGCCAAGTTCAAGAAAGCTCTGATGAATGAATTCGAAATGACTGATCTAGGCAAAATGACATACTTTCTAGGGATGGAGTTCAGATATTCTGAGAAAGGTATCATTTTGCATCAGCTCAAGTATGAATTAGAACTTCTGAAGATATTTGAACTGAAGAATTGTAAGATTGTTGTCACACCTTCTGATACAAATCAGAAACTGGATTTTGATTCTGATGGAAAGGATGTGGACGTTACAACCTTCAAATAGTTGGTTGGTTCTCTGAGGTATCTGTGCAATACCAGACCTGATATTTGCTATTCTGTTGGGATGGTTAGTAGGTTCATGAGTAAACCTAAGTGGTCCCATTACCAAGCTGCTGTCAGGATTCTGAGGTATATCAAGGGAACTCTGAAGTATGGAGTGTTATTTTCTTCTGGAAGAAAGAATGAGTCAGAACTTCTGAGTTATTCAGATTCTGATTGGTGTGGAGACAGAGTTGACAGAAGAAGTACCTCTGGGTACTTGTTCAAATTTCTGGGAGGTCCCATTTCTTGGTGTTCTAAGAAGCAACATGTTGTGGCGTTATCAACCTGTGAAGCTGAATACATTGCAGGTGTTGTTACTGCATGTCAAGCTGTGTGGATTCTGAATCTGTTGCAGGATCTGAAGATTAAAATAAACAAACCTCTGAAGCTGATGATTGACAATAAGTCTGCAATCAATCTTGTCAGAAACCCAGTGTTGCATGGGAGAAGCAAGCATATTGAGACCAAGTATCATTTTCTGAGACATCAAGTTCAGAGTGGAGTGTTAGAAGTTGTACACTGCAGCACTCAGAAACAGTTGGCAGATGCTCTGACGAAAGTTATCAAGACTGATCAATTTCTCAGACTAAGGGATGGAATTGGTGTTACAAGTTTTGATGGAATATGAATTAAGGGATGATATTAGAAGTAATTCATATTTAGTTGTACTATTACTTAGCCCATAAGTTTGTTAGAGGGTATTTTAGTATTTTATCTTATTCTAGTAACCCTAGTTTTTAGCTTATAAATAGGGTTGCAATCATTGTAATGTCAAGTGAATTGTGTAGTCGTCATTCTCTTTAATAGAATATTTCTTCTCTTCATCATTTATTCACCTTTGCACCAACATGATGCAGGTGGTGATGGTGAAGTGTAGTAGTTTGGACCTGATTAACATTTATCATGTTTCTTCAACTAATGCATGTATTCATCACATCATCCTAACATTCATATTACTTAATAAGTAAAAAAAATAAATTTACTTGCATATTAAATCATAGAATTCAAAAGGAAGTAATTCATTGGCTTTGATTATAAAAAATCAATCAAATAAATACTTAATTTCTACTTATGTAGCACTGACACGACACATGACAGTGACACATATGGTTACATTCAATATATTCATCGGTGTAGACTTATCTGTGTCATTGTCGTGTTTGTTCTCCGTGTCAATACTTCATATATTACCACAATACTTGATGAGAGGAATAATCTTGATTTTAAGACTTTAGTAATTGGTACATGATCCAGACTGTTGGCTGCTTAGCTGAGAACATGGCCAAGGACTAACCTGATGAGCAAATCCAGAGACATCAGAACACTTCCAAGGTGGAGAAGATCTAGCTGACGATCCTGTCTCACCGTAAAGGTTAATATCATAGAAACAAATATCAGTAAAAGGTGAATTACTCAATCCACGTATCAAACCAGCTTGCAAAACATGCACACCCCAAACATTCTTAATTGTGATTCCCTTCACAACTGGTAAAGCATTAGAGTTAAAATTTTCATCGGGATGATCACCGACATCACCAGAAATTTTTATTCCCGTCCTTGCGTTTTCGATATACACACTAGACACTGTTAGATTCTTGATAATCCCTCCTCTTCCAATGTTTGTCTTAATGTGGATACCAATTCCCATGTTGAAGAGGTTGATGTGTTCGGCGAGTACATTCCGTACTCCGCCTGATGTTTCACTGCCTACTGCAATGCCGGCAAATGGAGATGATCCAGTTAGACGACGGATTGTGATATCCGAGCTAGGACGGCCATATGAAATACCGTATTCGTCCCATCCACTCTTCACGGCCACAAGATCATCTCCTGTTGATATGTATGAGTCCTCTATGCAGACATTTGAACTTGAATCTGCATACATGAATTTTATTTTACAGATAATTGAATAAATGTTTATTTTATTTGAAAACCCACTGCAATGCGCACAACGATTACTCGAAACTTAACATTATATGCTATTTCTTACCTGGATCAATTCCATCAGTGTTAGGAGAGTCACGAGGAGCCAAAATTGTGACATATCGAACTACAACATTGCTGCAATGAAGGAAGAAAATTTGTAATCAGATTTTTGGAAGAAAATAAAAATGTGCAACAAAAATTAGTACTAGTTTTATACCTGCAGTAAACTGGATGAATATTCCAGAAGGGAGAATTCTTGAAAATCACATTTGAAATAATAATATTTCTTGAATTCAAAAACTCAACAAGGTTTGGTCTTGTAAATTGAAGAGTTCTCTGCCTCCACATGTTCCACCATACATCTCCCTGCCCATCAATTGTCCCATTCTCACCTATGAAAAATCATGAAGCGAGATTATTTCGATCACACTCACAATTTAGAACAATTCTCGGTATCGGTCCGTTTGTTTTAACTTTAAAAAAAATGGATTTTTTGTTTATATTTTCAAAAATAGATTTTGGAAATCAGTTTTTTAAAATATTACAAGTTTTTTCTATTTGTTTTTTCTAAATTGTAAGACTAATTTTGACATCATATAATATAAATATACATTATAATTAAAGATCAAATCATAGTTGAAATCACAATTTTTAAAAAAAAGTTATATTTCAAAAATAATTTTTATAAAAAGATATTTAAAATAGTTTTAAAATTAAGTGATTTTTTAAAATTTTGATATCTAAAAATTTTTTTAATAAAATATTGATATATTTAAAATCACATTTTAAAAATAACTATTTCAAATTAAATTTTTATTTGAAATTTTTACGAAAAGTTTATTTGTAAATTTTTTTTTGTTAGAAAATCAAGTGAGTAATTTATTTTTACTTACCTGTGATTATTACATTGCGGACTCCATCGCCATGAATAAAACTTATATACCTTCCTCCAGGGAGCTCCCTTCCTCTTCCATAAGACGGTAAAGGTGCAATTAAAGGCCAATTCCAAAACCTCTACAAAATGAAGAGCATTAATAAGAATAGTAAGAAAATATAAACAACAAGAATTCTCCAATAATATGTGTCAAGGGAAACTTTAATATTTGAAACCATTTTTCATGACTGACAGTGACGGACAACAAAACCAACTATGTAACACATTGTTTATTGTGTGAAAATGATGCACATGCAGAGCACAGACCGACCAATGCTTTTAGACCTTTCAGGTTATGAGCTGTTTCCGACATCCCATTACCTGTGCATTATTTATTTATGAAAAATGTGTTAGATCAATTATTTTAATTAATTAAATATGGATTGAAATAATTAATTATTAATTAATTATATTATGCTTTATTGTTATTAAACACTAAATAGATAAAGTGTTTGATTGAGTTTTTTACCTGAATGGACCGTAATTGATTGGACCATTAAGTTAAGCCCAACGAGAGGTCTCTGCCCTCAGCCTTTTAGCTATTTAAGTGTCTTCCCATTAGACAATTAAACTACTCTGAAAATCTTAAACGGCAATGAGGATAGTAATTCTCTCATACTCACAAGCTTCGACAACCGTCTCTTCAATCTTATAAGTTACACTGTTCTAATTATTTTTTATTATTGTTAGATTAAACAATATGCTATAATTTGTATATTCAATTGGTATCAGAGCCCATAGATATGTTTTATAGCTATCGCTTGAATTATATAATTTGAATTAGTGTATTTGAATTAGTGTATGGTTTCTATTTGTTTTGAGTTGACAAGTTAAATAATTAAACTTGATGCACTAATTTTATATAATTCATATTGAATGTAAATGGTGGGTTTTCTTAAAATTAGAAAAATTTTAGATCTAATATTTAAATAATTTGATCTAATGATTTTAGAAATTTATTGACATCTAAATTTCATATTTAGAATCAAGGTATATTATATTTTAGGTGTATATTAGTAAAACGTTGTTATGTCTAACCTATTTTTAAGGTTTGATTCCTCAATAATTGCATTGTGGGTGGAATGAGAATTATTTAGAAGAGTTTGAAAAGGTGATCCTATTTTTTTTAGCTTAAAAATTAATATCAAATATTTTATTTGTTTTTGCAGAATATTACTTAATTGATTTATTTATAATCTCTAACATACAAAAGTGGTAGATTTGTATGATCTCTTCAATTATTTTGTTAACTTTGAAAATTATGATATATTTATTATGTTGATTAAAAGATTATGAACGGAACATAATTAAGATATTTTGTTGCAGAAATGAATTTTGAATGACAAATTAGTTATTTTATTCAATATATTTTTAAATATTTTTGTTTGATATTAGTTAATAATATAATAAATTTTGATTGTAATATCTATGTATATCATGCTACTCTCTATGATCCAAGTTTTTTTTTTTTGAAATTATATAAGAGAGTTAATTTAAAGTAAACATGTTTTGAAATTATCCAATAGTCCACATTTGTCGGGTCATAATATGAAAGTACAAGTAAATATCAAAAGTGTGTGCCAATAGATAGCATGATTTTTTATTATATTGTAATAAAAGAAATTAGTCACTTTGATGGATAAATTTATACTGACATGATACTATATTTATATTAATTTTAATAATTAATTAATTAATAAAGACGTAAAGAATTGTTTTTGATTTTAATATAAAATTCTTTTTTATGTTTTTTTATGTTAGTGAATATGATATTGGCCTAGAAACTTGTTTCTATATAAGCTTCAACAACTCTCTCCTAAGTTGATGTCAAATAAATAGTATTAGATATTCTATTTATTTTGATGTTTTGGTATATTCCAATATTTAAATATAATATGTTATAAAATGATTGATTTAATTCAAATTTTTAATATATTTAAAATTTTCATATATAATGATTTTGAGATATTCTTTAATAAAATTAAATTGTATTATCCTTATGATTATTTATAAATAGAGTTTTATATTTTGATATAACGATTTATTCTTTGTTTATGAATCATTTTGACATGATACTATAATATTCTAAAAGTCATTAAAGTTTAATACCTCTACTCACAAGGATAAATGTCACATTCTCTTCGAGGTTAGTTGTATTTGATTATTTATTAATTTTGAATCTCTTGTGACTATTATATAATAATTGCATACAAGGAGGAATTTCTTAAAATATTATTCACTTCCTTTTGAAATTAAAATTATACAATTATATATATATATATATATATATATATATATATATATATATATATATATATATATATATATATATATATATATATATATATATATATATATATATATATATATATATATATATATATATATATATATATATATATATATATATATATATATATATATATATATATATATATATATAAAATTAATCTTAATTTGCATGATTGTAACTCACATATCGTGGTACAGTTATTCAAATTTTGTTAAATTAATTTTAGTTATAATAAATATTATATTGATAATAATTATACCCTATCGGTATATTATTATTAGTATAATTTGTTTTGTTTAATGCACTTATGATTTATGATTGTGTAAATTATAGTTCAAGTATCCTATTGGTATTAGAATTTTTGATGACATAATATTTATACATTGTTATATTTCTTATTTCATATTGTTGAAAGTATTATTTAAGAAGAAAAAAAAATATTTTTTGAAGGCGTAATAATTTATGAAATCCAAATTTTTTTTTATTAAAATGGATTTCAATTCTCTATGTATTATGTGAGTGATGGACATACCTGAATGATTATTGTGTGATACAGAAAATAGTTGGATATTTGTTTAAATATTTTAAAATTCTAATATTAATAATTCAACTATTATTCTCTATCAAGTGGGAGAATTTAACATGTCAATTATATAGATTTCAGAAACAAATATTATTTGTTTAATATATAATATTATTTAGTCTTATATTATATCCTCAATATTAAATTTGATTAAAGTCTCATATTTTTCCGCTGCGTATAACGTAATATGTTTCTCAAATGTGTGTAGTTATACTTATAGCATTTGAGTTTTGAGCGAGTTATGAATTTGATCTCACTCAAAAGATGATAAATCTTTTATAGGACCATCATATTATTTCATGTAAATTATCTAAATAAAGATATATTCTATTGACGTGCAAAATATGTGGTTGAGTTTAATGATATATTATAGAACCACCTCTCTGTATAATTTTGCACTAAAAATAACATTAGCACCCCCGTTGTTCAATCAGAGTATTTAATATTAGTGACCTCTAATAAATCCTTATCATATTGAATTAGTGGGAGTGTATTGCATGTGAACAAATCATATAATCTAAAATTTTGGATTATTATTCTCATAGTGTCATATATTCTTACGCGCACTGTAAATATGACATATTTTAAAAGGACTTCAAAATATAAAATAATTATAAGAAGTCTTATTCTGTTATACTGAGATATATATTATTCTCTTAATCTCAGAAAAGATCATAATTTGATGTTTAGGTTGATATTGAAAAGACACAATAATTCTTTATCGTACAATAATATTGTGTTATTATATCTTCAATAGTCCACATTTGTCGGATCATAATATGAAAGTATAAGTAAATATCAATACTCCTATTGAGTATGATATTGTGTTATGAAGATACTTATAATTAAATGTAATTACTCTGTTAATAGGGTATTCCTATATGTAATTACTATTCTTAGACCTATGTGGATATTCTATGACCTATAATTTAAAACTCATTAGTATAATCACTAACCATAGACTTATACACATGAGTAAGTCTTATGATATTTTAGATTAGTGGAAGTTTATCAATAGCATTTTCATATGCTTGGGCCATTCTTTATAACATATTACTCTGAAGTTAAATATGTTACTCTAAAGTCATCATTTTATATATAAAGTTGTGAGTTTTAATATGTATGATTTGTTTTCCCTATCGGATACAATTTCTGCAGCGTTGAAATTTACTTCTTTTGATTGATTGGTGTTTTGACCATTATTGATATTCTAATACTATAATCAATATTTTTAATAATTAATTATTGTCATCCAAGTGGGAGATTGTTAGATTAATTATTTAATTAATCAAATATGGATTGACATAATTAATTATTAATTAATTATATTATGGTCTACTGTTATTAAACACTAAATAGATGAATTGTTTGATTGAGTTTTGTGCCTGAATGGACCGTAATGAGTTGGACCATTCAGTTAAGCCCAATGAGAGGTCCCTGCCCTCAGCCTTTTAGCTATTTAAGTGTCTCCCCATTAGACAATTAAACTACTCTGAAAATCCTAAACAGCAATGAGGGTAGTAATTCTCTCATATTCACAAGTTTCGACAACCGTCTCTTCAATCTTATAATATACACCGTTCTAATTATTTTTTATTATTGTTATATTAAATAATATGTTATAATTTATATCTATTAAATTCATTTAAATCCTTCAAAATGAGGTAAGCCCCATTATTCTATTGTCACTTTTGATTTCTCTGTCGTTGTTAAAAATGCCAATTAAAATTTGGATGCAAGGCAATATTTTTTGTCCATAAGATTTACTTTAAATATTTTGATGAGTTTACGAAACTTAAGAAAAATTAATAGATTTACCTAAATAATTGGAAAGTGTACAAAAATAATTCAGAGAAAAATAAATGTATATTTTCTAAAAAATATTTAACATATTAATGTTTTTTTAACTTACATGAATTTTATATAATATTTGTAAGCCTAGCTAATTAAAACAGTCATTATAAGGTAATGCTATTTTGTACATTTAAAAATCATAAATAATAAATTTGTATGGAAAAAACATAAAATCATTAATTATAAAATTATATTAAATTTATTATACAATTTTTTTTAAAAATTTAAATTATTTATCTCTTAACTTATTATCCTAACATAAAACCCCTATTTTTTTTCACCATCAAATATCCAGATCCCTAGACCCAATCATCCGATTCAGAATGAATTTTGACATGACTAAAGAAATTAATTAGCACTAAATTAGGCTATACTACTAAAATAGCAATGTGAATGAAAATAGAAACCTGTGTAGCTTTAATAACAGCACCAGCAGCAAGATAAAGAGTCATATGACTGGTAAGATTGAAGCTTTCCGTCAAGTACACTCCCGGCGGCACATAGAGAAGCGTGCCGCCGCGTCTCCTAATATGCTGGATCCGGTAAATAGCTTCCCTGAAAGCTTTGGTGTTGAGTGTTTTTCCGTCGCCGACACCGCCGAAATCGGTTATGGAAATCGTGTCGGCGCGCTGTCGGAACGGTACTATGCCGGAGCATGTTTCGGAATATGATGCGGAGGTTGGAGAGGAATGGAAGAGGAATGTGAGAAGGAAGAGGAAAATGGAGACGGTGGAAGAAGATGAGACAAGATGCATCTTTGCTGAAGCTGGGGTGAGCAGTGGTTGATGATGATAAAGGATTTGATAAAAATGATTGAAAGTGGTGGTTGTTTTATCTTAATGAGAGAAAAGAATATGTCCCACAATTCATTCAAGCTTCTTTCTTGGTAAGGCAAAATACTTTTTTTTACCTTAATTATATCCTTATTTCGCAACTTCTTTTTATGGTCTCTTAATTCTTAAAAATTATTATTTTTTTGTCTAATCAATGACAAAAATATTCAAAAAACGATTGGTAAATTCGTCGCTTCAGTAAAACAAACTAACATAACACATTTTAAAAGTTAAGCAATCAATTTGACACAAAAAAAATAAAGGATCAATCTTAATTCAAAAGTATAGTTAAAAGACTAAAAAAACATATTTTTGCATTTTTAAAATTAATTTAAATTATCATTGGATTCTTGGTAGATAATCACATTTATATTTTTCTATTTTTTTTCTTTTTGTTTTCAGAAATCTTTTACTCAAATAATTTATATTTTTAAAAATATCTCAAAATAACTCATTTTTCAGTGTATTTTTCAAAGTACTCCACTTTAGAGGTGAGAATGAGTGTTAGTATCAATTCAATTGGCGACTGCTTGTTGGCCTTAAGAGGTGTTGCCATAGGGTTGGAGACACCATATAGTGTTGTCAATGCAATTGACGACAATGTATTAAATTAGAAGGGTGTCACCAATTGGTTTGAAGACGCAATCATAAATTTTTAAACATAAATAATTTACATTAACATTTAATTAAAAATAATATTACATAAATTAATGATGACGATCGGGTTGGTCATACTAGTCACCGATTCCACATCGCCTAACTACCCTTACTCGTTGCCTTAATTGTCCTTGTTGTTGATTCACTCCATGTGTTTGAGGATTTGAGGTCTCAAGAACATCTCCAGCATAATCCTTAAGAATTTCTTGCATTTCTAAGTCTCGTGTGTTGAAAATGAGTTCGCGACCCATGTCAGAGTAGTCGAGATGTGATGAAGGGGTCATTAGTGTGTGGCTTGGACAATTGAAGGGGGACATTAGTGTGAAGGATTTGTTGGTGAAAGGTTGAAATGGTAGTGGTGTTTGAAAGTCATAAGGTTGTTGTGATGTTTGTATGTGTCGACTATGGTTAGGACACTCAGATTTAGCAAAATATTTCCAATCAGGATAGTTCCATTTTCATTAACTTTTTGTAGATGCCATTTACCGAGGTCAATTTGGGGATCTGGGATGTTTTCATGCATTCCAAATTGTAGTTTGACACGGTCGATGTGGTGCATCTCCACAGTGGTGAATCTAATGATCGACACACATGCAGTCCAAACGGCTACATCTTCTTCTCTGACTTCATGTTGGTGTTCCATGTTTAGATATGGACGCCAAATGAACTGTAGAAGAGAAAAAGATTAGATCATAAAATGGGTGATATTAAAAATAAATTGATTACTATAGTGACATTACATCTCTAGGTGTAAGGTGATCCAAAAGATTGCAGTATTGAATGATACAATGTCTAGAACATCTATTGTAAGTCATACTGTGAGCCGACCATCTAAACAAAAAATAGTTCAAATAAATCAGTTAGAGACAATAATCAGTAAAGTGAATTAACTAATATGAAATTAATAACTTACTTTTGTGCATACGAGAATGAGAAGCCGTTGTGGTTGACAGGCGCTAGGGATGGTAATCTAAACCAATCCCATGCTTGGAGCAAAACGGCGCATCCAAAAAATATAGATGTGTTTTTCGTTGTGTTTTTACACAAAGAGCTATACAAATAAGACAAAACAGCAGAACCCCGACTATATTCTCTTGTTTTATCTAGGTTTCTTAATAAGGGTGAATACATAACGTGCATAATAGAACCAATACATTCGGGAAATAAAAATGAACAAAGTAAATGCATAAGATAACACCTAGTTCTTATTATTTTCATTTCTTCGGTAGAATTTTCATCTAATATTAAACTGTTGTAATATATGTTGAGACGCGAAAGTAAGATACCTTGTCCTCTTGGGTTATGATCCAACAAGTCGGCACCCAAAAGTTCCTCGCGAATTGAATTTACGAAGTTTGTTTTTTCGATTGGCCGCCTTACCATAAATACACAACCCGAGTAACATGTACACGTCCTCTAACGTCATGGTACATTCACCGGTTGGAAAAAATGTGTGTGTCTCGGGGCGCCATCTTTCTTGAAAAGCTAATATAAACTTTGCATCATCTGAGTAAGATATGATTTTGCTTACATGTCTGAAATTGGCGAGCTCAACATATTCATGGACACGAGGACGAAACCTAGAAACATCCTACAAAAAAATAAACACTTACAAATGAGAATAAATATGAAGACATGCCAAAATATAAACTACTTAGTGAATTAAACACTTACATAATTCTCAATATTGGCGGCGGTGCCTCTGTGCATTTCACCCACTGTCAATAGAGACATTGTTTTTGTTGATGAAAACTAATTGATTCTATCTGAAGCCAGACAATTGTTTATGATTCCAAACTAGAATCAATTCCATATGAATTTATAGAGGAAGAATAGTAGCTATTCATCATGCCATGTAGAAAGCTAGCGCCAATTCAATCGGCGACTATGTAGGAATGCTACACTCAGTCGCCATTCCAATTGGAGAGATCTAGGCACACATAGGCTATACACATAGGTTGCATGCATGCATGGCAGACGAACCATGACATGGGACAGTGTAGGTGTATACTAGCTAAGTCACATTGAACCACGATGCCAATTTGACTGGCAACAGTGTAGGAAAAAATGAACCTTGTCGTCAATTGAGTTGTAGAGTCCATGCATATTTAACATGTCCCATGCATTGTCATATGCATCAATCCATGTCTCATATAAAAATATAGTAACAATGTCATATGCATCTATCATACCCCAAAATTTTCCTACCTGTATATAGTTTTAATCTTGCACATCCATCCACTTAATATGTTACTCCCTCTCATGGTCTAAACTCAGGGTATCATAGGATTGAGATTAGTCTAGTTAAGGCTCGCCTGAGGCCTATTAGTAGGAGTGTGTGTGTGTTGCACCCCAAATTTTGACCCCTTAGATCCTCATCATCATTGTAGGATCATGTTCATTTGATTAACTAACCTTAACCCATTTCCAGTCTGTCTTTGTCAAGATGCAGATGAATCGGGGTTCCGTACCGTCAAAATCAGGGCTTTGAGGGTTTGATCAATCAATGTTTTGGATTGATTCAACTTCAAAAAAGATCAAATATTTTCCATTAGATCAAGTATGAATTTAATTTGAGGTGGTCACTCGGGAATTGAGAACAGTGCAGTTCAAGACGCCCGATTAGGGTTTTCGATCAGGAAAAGTCAACTGTAGTTTGACTTTTGATTTAAAAAGTGTTTCAATGGTGGTATCAAGGTACATTAAGCTCCTATGGCTTGGTAAAGTCTATCCAAAGAGTTTCAAGTCCTCAGAATGCCCGGAACCCCAACAGTTGACTCGGTAGTCACCGATTGATCGAACGGTTGACCGAAAAGTCAACTCTTCAATAATAAGGAGTTTGACTTCAAGATGTGAATCAAAAATGTTCCTAATGTAATATTACACTTTCCCATAAAATTTCATGACCATTGGATCAAGGGTTAGGGAGTAATCACAAAATTTGGGAAATTAAGGTTTTGAAAAGGGCAAAGTCATAACTCCTTAACCACACAAGGGTTTTTGACCTAGTTTCAAGGGGAATGAGTTCCTAACACAAGCATAAATATCGTAGTACCTAATTGGGGATTTTTAAAAATTACAAGTGGGTTCCATAACTCTTCCTGGTTAGAGAGAACCAAGATCCACAAGTTGGCAAAAACTCATATTCGCAAAACTAGGTCAGCATGAGTTTTTTTATTCCAAAACCTCTCCAAATTGATGTTAATCAAAGACTAAACCTCATTTATGATGTTTGTATTGATAATGAATATTTTTAATATCAATTCCCACGAAAATGGTACAAAGATCAAAGGAAATCATTATTTAATGCAAGTTGCAAAAGTGAATAGTGAAGAAAGAGAAAAAAAGGTGGCTACCCTTGTCAAATCATCAACTTTACTTCAACAAGTCACCTCCTAACCTATAAAGCATGATGAAAACAATATATAGGGCATGGAAAATATATTAGTAGAGTGGCTTAAAGACAAGTATGAAGATTGCATTGGAAAACTCAAAGATTTTCATGATGGAAGGTTAAAATTGGCAATTTGCTTCACTTTTACCCATACCTTGATCCAAGGCCTTTGGCTATAAATAGAACTCACTTCCTACATCACAAATACACCAGTTCTATGCTAGAAACCATCTAGAACTCTCTCCCTTACACAATCACAAAATTCTTGCAAAATCTCACTAAGTCTCCAAAATCCCTCAAAAACTATTTTTGCAAAACACCTTCCAAAACCATTTCCAAACTTTTTCCAACTCAAGAAACACTTCAAAGTTCAAACACATCAAATATGATGTATTGAAGCTATCCAAATCACTTCCACACTTATGTAACAAGGTTTGAGTGAGTTGGTCTTTGAAATCTTTGGATTTTAGAGTTTTTCCTTCATTTACAAGGCATTTCGTCCCCTAGCTTGCTTGGAGGTTCTTTGGAGCATCTATTCATTAACCTAGGAAAATTTGAAGACCTTGTAAGAGCTCTCAATGTCTCTGGTTTTCTTATTGCTTAAGGTTGCTTCAAGAGGTAAACCTAAAACTCATAAATGTGAACTTTCTACTTGCATTTCACATGCTACCATGAATGTTTTTAGGGTTTTCACCTTCCTATCTCTCATTTATTCATTTCAAAACTTTAATTTTATTCTCTTTTGAGTTTTATTTTAAAGTTATGATTTTGGCTTGTTAGCATCCTTGTGTACTTGAGTTTGACTAAAACTCTTGCTTGTAAGCATTTGTGTTTGATCTTCTCTTAAAACTTGAAAATTTTCCCCGTGAAG